AAAAAAAGGATGTAAAACATGTAAAGAATAAATTTTCCGCCATCGATGTTGAGATTCCAATGAGAACCGTTGCATTCACAAACCAGACTGAGATACCAAAAAAGTGCTGTTTTCGCCGTCAATCAAATCTCATGAGCCAATCACGCGCGGTAATTCTGAGCCGACAATACGGGTCTATATTGGTGGCTCTCTCTCGATTAAACTTATAGGAGGGTCGCGATACAACAGAATATTCAGTATAATAATAAATTCAAAATAAGTAATTCCTTGACAGAAGTTGGTCGCATACACTATTTTCCCCTCTGTAATTGAATTTCATCACCTCTTACTGTGCTGTTTCTACTGGCAGCAGTCCTTACAATGGGTTATTAGGACATAACTCATTAGAACAGCGTCATCCACATTCAATAAGCGTACTTGCGAAAATAATGTGATATTCATTATAAAAGAATATTTTTTTCTTCATTTATATTTCATAGCAGGCCAATTACACTTTACAATATTACAGTTAAACAAAAACAGACGATGTATATATAGCCTAAACTCGAAAGAATAAGAAAGAAGAGACTATAAACAAATGCATAAATCTAAAGAATAGATAAAATAAAGAAAAGTCATAGATTATTCAATATAATAAGCCTGTCTAAATATGTAGGTTTTTAGCTTATTCTTAAAAATACCTATGGAACTAGCTAATTCTAATATCAAGCGGAATACTATTCCAAAGTCAGGGGACGCAGACTGAAAAAGCACGTGAACCATACGATGTAAGATTGTATGGAGGCCCAGCTAATAAGAGCTTAGAAGAAGATTGAAAGTAGCTTGTTTACCTAACAGCAATTATTCTTTGGAAAAATATTTTTCTTTGATCACACGTCATGTATTGTTTTATTAGAAGCATGACATTGAATCTTTGTACAGTTACACTCCAAAGGTTCATTAAGTATTGAACATCCTGGTTTAAGATAAACTAACGAACTACACAGGTGAAAGTCAGTTGGTCTCCGACGAGATGGACTTCAGGGTTCTACTGATGTCCTGTCTGTTCGGCGCATCGCTTGTTAAAGGTTAGTGTTTTTATATTCTTTTTTTTGCACGAACTCGTCAACGTACTACATACATACATACATACATACATAAACTTTATTTAACCTCGAATTTCAGAGTAGCTTACAAAGCTAATATCTTCGAGAAAACAACTTCCACAACTTCCACAATCCCTTTTTCTTTACTTTTCTTTTCTTTCCTTTTCGCTTCTTTTTCTTTTTTGTTTCTCTTCCTATTTGTTCCTTCTTTTATTCATTCTATCCTACGTATACGTTCGTTCTTTCGTTCTTTCCTTCCTCATTTCTCTCCTCCTGCTTTCTTTCTTTCTTTCTTTCTTTCTATTTTTCTTTTTTTTTCTTCTTTATTTTTTTCTTTATTTATTGGTACTATCTTTCCCGTTCCTTCCTTCCTGCGTCCAGGAATCGAAATCGAGGATCCAGAGGTGAGTGAGGCGAATGCCGGCATTACTGCAACACAATTCTTAATGCCTGGTTTTCCAAAACCCCCGAATCTAGTAACAAAAAAGTATTTGTATCTGAGTGTCTTAAAGTTCTTGGGAAAGTTCTAACACTCTCCGTATTTGAATTACATTGGCTGCTTTATTCCAGCAGCATCAATAGATTACGTATTTTTTGTAATGTAATTTTTATGATCTATCCGACGTCATAGAGAGAGAGAAAGGAAAATTCTAGCAAGAACGGAAGACCCAGAGTCGTGAAACAGAGAATCGAATAAACTCAATATATGTAATTCCTTGACATACGTCGGTCGCATTCACTATTTTTTCTTCTGTAATTGATTTTCTTCACCTCTTACTGTGCTGTTTCTACTAGCAGTGGTCTTTTAATGGGTTATTCGGACAGAACTCATTACAGAAGGGTCATCACAAAGCCACGGTGTATTAACATTGAAAATAAATCTTATTGTTTTAATGTAATCTTTAAACAATAATATTCTATTCTTCTGATATTTAATTGAAGAAATAAGTTAGGCAGTTAAATATTTTCTTAAATGTACTCATTGATGATGCTTCTTCTTTTCATGCATTCTTTGATTTGAATTCATCTTTGTGTCTTGCGAACAAATGCTTGATTTTCAGCTTGAACTAAATTCATTCAAGTAACTAAAAATAGAATCCCTGCCATGAAACAAAGAAAGAAACAAAGAAGGAAAGAAAGAACAAAAAAGAGAAAGAAAGAAAGAAA